TGGAAAGGGGGGCAGTACTGGCTCGTCCTTCACGCCCTACCGAGGTCACGAGTTGCCCCCCACAAGCGGCTCTCTGGCACAGCCATGGCTCCAGAGGCAAAAGGACTTAATCCAGAGCCTGGAAACTTGCAGCAGAAAAGTGAATGGACCATGTGTTAAACTATGGCGCCATGCCTCCCCAGGATGGAAAGTGTGTTGCTCCCTTTCGCCTCCTTCCCTCCCCTCCCCCCCCCACCGGCAGCAAGGTGGCCACCACCTCAGAGCTTATTGGAAAGCCAGGTATGAGCCGGTGGTGACAGGGCAACTGCAGTCTCATGGGAAGAAGGGCTGTACCAGCTCGTCCTTCACGCCCTACCGAGGTAACAAGCTGGCCCCCCACAAGCGGCTCTCTGGCATGGCCATGGCTCCAGAGGCAAAAGGACTTAGTCCAGAGCCCAGCAGCTTGCAGCAGAAAAGTAAATGGACCATGTGGTAAACTATGGCGCCATGCCTCCCCAGGAGGGAAAGGGTGTTGCTCCCTTCCGCCTTTTTCCCCCCTGGCAGCAGGGTGGCCGCCACCTCAGAGCTTATAGGAAAGCCAGGTATGAGCCAGAGGTGACGGGGCAACTGCAGTCTCATGGGAAGGGGGGCAGTACCGGCACATCCTTCACGCCCTACCGAGGTCACAAGTTATCCCCCACGAGTGGCTCTCTGGCATGGCCATAACACCAGACACACAGAAACTAATCTCTTAATTATCTGGCTCTTTGCAGAAATCCAAAATCGTGGCCACGTTACATTATATGATTCTCATAACCAGCTATAGAAAACAAAATATTTCACAATGCCTTTTCAGCAATTCTGATTGTTTGGGGGGAACTTCTAAACAGTAATGGTGCATCTTTTGTCGAAATAATGAATGTAATCAATGTAGAGAAGAGTTAAGTAGAAATCATCTGCCTCTCAGGCATTTGGAGGGGTGGGAGGGAGGGTATACTGGGGTTCTTGGTGGTGAAAAATGAGTACTGGTGAAGGGAAAGGTGTTTGATCATTGTATGACCGAGACTTAAACCTGAAAGTTTAGTAACTTTTCCCACAGTGATTCAATGAATAAATACAAAATAAATAAAATAAATAAATAAAACTTAAAAAAAAACAAAAAAAAACCCAAAAAACACAATGCATAAAATCCATTTGCACTTCTATGTTCATTGCATCAGTGTTCACAATAGCCAGAATCTGGAAACAACCTGAGTGCCCAAGAACAGATGACTGGTGGAGGCAGGGCGTGGGAAGGGGTGGGAGTGACAGGAAGAATATTGGGAATGTTGATGGTGGAGAATGGGCACTGGTGGAGGGATGGGTACTCAATCATTGTATAAGTGAACTGTAATCACGAAAGTTTGTAATTCTGTAACTGTATCTCACAGTGATTCATTAAAAAATAAAAAAAGAACAGATGACTGGATAAAGAAGCTATGGTACATCTACACAATGGCACACTACATGGCCCTAGGTCAAATGAGGTCATGAAATTTGCTTATACATGGATGAACATGGGGAGTATGCTGAGCAAAATGAGTCAAAGGGAAACAGAGAGACGTATTACACTCATTTGTGGGATACACACACACACAAACACACATACACACATATATATATAAAACTTAATATGAGATTAATACAGTAGGAAAGAGGTCCTGTTCAATGTTTGGAAACTTGAGACAAGTGGTGGGGTCATTGCCTTTAGGACAGAGAAGAGACCACTATGACAACAATGATAGTTGCAAATGATCACTCTGGTCAAGAACTGAGTACTGAAAGGAGGTAAAGTGGTATGTGTGATAACTTTTCAGTATACATATTGCAAAACCACAATATAAAAATAAAATATGAGAGAAAGAGAGAGAGAGAGAGAGAGAGAGAGAGAGAGAAAGTGTCTGCCATAGAATAGAGTTAGGCTGGGGTGGGTGACAGGAGGGAAACTGGAGACATTGGTGGTTGGGGAAAAAATGTACTTTGGTGAAGGAATGAGTGTTGGAACACTGCATGACTGAAACCTAATCAGAAACAACTTGTAACTGTGAGGAAAAAAGTAAAAACAGCCCCCAAAATTTGTGTGGCTGGAATGGATTGTTTTTGTTCCCTATATGCCCAGTTCTCTCAGCTTTACCTTCTCAGTGTTGTTCTTTGGTGCATCTTTCCTCCCGGTCACTAACACATTCTATCTATCTGCATCATGTCTTTCTTGTGTTTCAGGCCAACTCCTGCTTTCCTGGGCTTTCCCCATTGCAGCCCAGAAACACCTTGCAGGGTGCATCTATTCCATCTTTCTAGCAGAAAGGAATAGTATTTATTTTTTCTAACAGTACAAACCCAAGTCCTTCAGAGACCATATGGATTTTATAGAAGCAAATGAATACTTGTCTTCAGTGGGGCACATATCTGACTCAGAGACTTTATGGGGAGGCTATGGTCCTCAGCAGAATGCCAATGCTGTTGTATTTCTTCCTCACTACTGAAGCATGCCCCTGACAAGATTCAGAATAGATGGAGATAACAGGAAGCCTTTGTTGACCCAGTGTGGTGATAGAACAATTTCTGACATAGCATCTTGTCCTCAATCTTCTCCAAACATGTCATCCGGTAGCATGACTAAAATTCACACTAGATACACTGGGAAGATTCACACATTGGAGATAATCCTTTCAGAGGCAGGCTTTGGCCACCTTCTCCTCACTTATACCTGTCAGGGTAGATAATACAGATGGTCCTAATACCATCTGATTGCTTTCATTAGCACTGTAGACCTGTCCTCCAATTTGCTTGAGTGGGCCCAGTAACGTCTCCGCTGTGAGACTTCTTGTTACTGTGTTTGGCATATCCAATACGTCATGGGGAGCTTTCCAAGCTTTGCCATGCGGGCGAGATACTCTAGGTAGTTTGCCAGGCTCTCCAAGAGGGGGCTTTCTTTATAGGGAGAGAAAATTTGGACATAAGTTTGGACTGAAAACAAAACAACCACGTGAAGACACAGCGAGAAGACAGCTTTCTGCAAGCCAACGAGGGCCCTCAGAAGAAGGAACTGCTGGTGCTACCTTTATCTTCAACATCGCTGGAATCGTAGTTAGAACACAGAGAGCTCCTATTTAGGTCTGGGTTCTTTAGTCTTTTTACCATGGAGACTGGCCCCTGTGCTGCACACTATTCCATTGATGAGCAGTTATGACCAAGGAAGTACACCACTGGTTTTCAACCTTTCTACACCTGTGGGTCAACTGCCACCACTCTGACCCATGGTTGAAGATCTCTAATGTCACTAGTTTAGACCACTAACTAATGGTTCGTTGTTAAGGCAGCCTGAGAAAAGTAATATAGGGATTGATTATTAACCAGAGCTGTGGGTGACAAGGAAAGAAAGGTTTGAAGATGTTTTTTAAATTAGTGTGCACTATGTAACTACCAGGGGTTTTGTAATTTGCACTGCTGATTAAATTTGAAAGGTCACTGTAGCAAATACCTGGGTTTTTTGCCTGCCAGGATTCCATTACTTTCCTGGAAACTATAATTATTTCAGGGGAACCCCATTTCTCACTCTTGAAGCATGTATAACTACTAGGGGAAGGAGTATGTTCCCTTTACCCCACCCCAGAGATAGGCAATACCCACAGTTTATCAGATTAGATTTCATATGTTTGTGATCAAAGATTTCCCAAATTTGAACTTTTCAAATACCCTGTCACCAAATACCATCTAAGGTACTATTAAAGCCTCAACACTGAAAATTTGGGGGATTCTAACTCTGTGTGTATGTGGGGGGGGGGGGTGTATGTGTGTCTGTCTGTCTCCCTCCCTCCATCCCTCTCTTTTTCTGTGTATCTCTGTCTCTGTCTCTATCTCTATGTCTCTCTCTCTCTCTCTCTCTCTCTCTCTCTCTCTCTCTCTCTCTCTCTCTCTTTCTCTCTCTCTCTCTCTCTCATATGAAAGAAAAGCCAGGGTGAGCACCACTTGTTCCCACTCCCAGAGCTGACTTACGGGAGCACTCAGTAAGAAGCCTTGCTGAATTGTAGGCCTCTGCCCAGCTTGTGTGACCACTGTTTTCATGTGTGTCCACCCACTCTCAGCCTAAAAACTGCAGTCCTAGAAAGCACCCAACAAACAGTAGATCTACCCTGGTGGTCCCTGCACCTAGATGAAAGGATGTTCTTCAAACAAGCAATTCTTGAAAGGCATGAAACTGAGTGGAGAAAAAAAAATCCATAAAGAGTTTTAGAAGATTTAGCTAAAAAGGAAGGAGGACAGGTGCATATGGTCGTGATCTGAAGAGATTGAGACTCTGGAACAGTAAAGATGATGAAGTCTTTGGATATGGAAATGAGTCTGGGAAGAACTAATCAGAAGGGTAAATTAAAAAACAGAAAAAGACTGTGATACAAGCCAGGGGAAAACTGCATTTGTCAGTGTCTTTAGTTCATAATAAATTCATGAGCTACACATGTGGAAATTTTGTTGGCTTTGGTTGTGGGAGAGAATTGCAAATACGTATAATATGTAAATACCTTTTATAATAAAGCCCAAGGAGGTAAATGAGCCTGTAGAAAAACTGAGCTGTGTAAGATGCTAATATAACTGTATTCACTCTATGAAATTAGCATAATGCTTAAAGGGCTTTGAAGGTTCCTGAGTTTTGCCGGCGAGTGGGCACAAAACTAGAACACACGCACACGCACACGCACACGCACACAGGCACACACACAGACACACACCTTTCTTTCTTCTATTAAAATTTTATTTATTGGTGGCGGGTAGAGGCACTCCGTGCGTGACGAGGATCAGACCAGATACCGTCACCTGCATGCACAACACGACCCCACCGGGTTGAGCAATCGACCCTGTGGGTTCAGGCTGCAAGGCAGGCTGCAGGGGCTGGTCTGAAGAGCGGGCGGGACGGGGCGGGCCGGAAGCGCGGGCGGGGACAGGGCGGGCAGGAAGCGCCGGCTGGTCAGTGCAGGCCGGGGTGGGCTGTAAGCGTGTTCCCGATGGTGCCCGCCGCTGGCCCCCGGGACTCCGCGCTGTGGCGGGCCTGCAACTGGTTGATGGGCGCCTTCTTCGCGCTGGCCGCCTTCGTGCAGGTCTGAGCGGGCTGTGCAGGGCGCAGCGCCCCGAGCTCGGCCCCGCGCCAAACTGATCCTAGGGCAGACCCTCCGGGTGGGCGTCCTCTGGGTCTCCGAACAGAGCCGGGTTTGGGGACCACCCCGAGTGTGGAGATGTGGACAGGCGCCTGCGGCCCTTCCCGCCCCAGGTTGCTGGGCTCCCCCGAACCGCGTCCTAATCTAGGCTGCCCAGGCTGCTGGGCTCCCCCGAACCGCGTCCTAATCTAGGCTGCCCAGGCTGCTGGGCACCCCCGAACCGCGTCCTAATCTAGGCTGCCCAGGCTGCAGGGCACCCCCGAACCGCGTCCTAATCTAGGCTGCCCAGGCTGCTGGGCACCCCCGAACCGCATCTAGTCTAGACTGTCCCAGGTGAGGTGGGCTCATGCCCCAGAAACGCATCCTAATCAAGGCTGCCCCAGGCGACCTACCTTGGAGCCCTTCTCACCTAGTGTCCAGTTGGTGGCTGGAAGGGACACCCTCCCGGGGCTAGAGGAGAGGAGAACCAAGAGGAAGGAACTCCCCTTTCCCAGTCCCTGAAATGGGAGGGCTTCTGGAAAACCCCTTCAGAGTCTAGCCCCTGTACAGTTCCTGACAATTCTTTACAAAGATGTGTGAGCGTGTGACTGGTGTATTGGAGTCATCTTTTGTGTTTAGCATGAAGCCCACCTCCAGCCACCCTAATCTGCTGTCTTAACTTTCAGTTTGTATCTTTTTCAAAGTTTAGCACGTGGTGAAATAAAAGAGCATGCCAGATTGACGAAGGGAATATGATCGTACATCTGCTAATGTCTTGATGGTTTGCATTCCAGATAAATGATCCTGATGCAGAACTGTGGATAGTGAGTATCAGCTTTTTTCTTGTTTGAAAGAAGAGTGGAATTGCACAAAACAGTTTTATCCTGTTGTCTTCTCTCTGCTTAATTAGAAACCAAGTCCGCTTTAAATTTCTTTTCCTAAAATATTAGGAGTAAAAGATTAATGTAATAATGTAATGTATATATTTGTTTTCCAGAGATATAGGGGTCTCTTAGCAGCATTCTTCTGAAATAAAATTGACAAAGTGAGAATGCTTTCTACATGTTTTTTTTTTTTCAGATGACCTCTCAGGGCCATGTGGACCAGTCCTTATTAGTTTTTGCCCAGAAACTTCTACAAACATTTCACCAGAAAAAAAATGACACGCTTATGGCTTGTGGTACTGTTAATGAAATACATTTGTAGAAATTAATAATTAAAGTTAAAAAAACCTCGAAGGGTTCAATGTATATGAATATACATAAGTATACAAAAATGAATATACATTGAATGAGTATTCTGCTTAAATCATTCGTAAGTGAAATCATTGGGTACATTTCCTCATATATTTCACTTTTCTCAGTAGAAATACATAAGACTGTACAATATTCCCAGATTGTATTAGATTTTAACAAGCTTTGGAATAATGCTGACCATTAACAACTAGTAAAAACATCTGGAATTAGAATGATAAATTCTAGTCAGTTTTTGTTTGTCTGGTATAACTGCATTCTAATACTGCTTATTGTTTAGATTTTCATATCCCCCTGAATCAAATCTAATAAATGGTCTCTTCCTAGCATTCTGGTCCCAATCCTGAGTTTGAGTATTATTTCTCTGCAGACATGTCTCAAATGTTCAGCTTAATTTTAAATTTACAAAAGATGGCTAGATCTGTGCTCTTCTATAATCGCTCCTCAGATATGCCCAATGTCCCACCTACCACATCTCTCTACAATCTGTTCTCTCTCTTGACTCACCCATGTTTATAATCACAAACTCATTCTTTGCATTGCATAATCTTTCCTCAAAATCTCAGGATCTCTAAAATCTCTTTGTTTTTTTCTCACCGGAGATCCCCTCAAAAAAAAAAAAAGAATATAAAAACCAAAGAAATCTAAAAATAATAATCTAGGACTTACTTCCAATCTGTATGACATATGCACAGTTTACATTTCACCTCATTACTTGTCTTTTCCTAAGATCTCCAAGTTAATGCTATACAACTTTGAATTCAAATCTACCACAATATGATTACCAGTCTGTTTTGGAACCTTTCCTCAGTTTTGTTTTTTGTTTTTTTTTTGTTTTTTTTTTTGTTTTTTTTGCTTTTTTGGGTCACACCCAGCAATGCTCAATGCTCAGGGGTTATTCCTGGCTTTCCACTCAATAATTACTCTGCCCAGGTCACTGCATGCAAGACCAATGCCCTACTCGCTGTACCCAACCTCTGTTCGTTGTTTTTGTTTGCTTGTTTGTTTGATTTTTCTTTTGAGGGTCACACCCAGTGATGCTTTGGGGTTACTCCTGGTTCTGCATTCAGAAATTACTCCTGGTAGTGCTTGGGGAACCATATGGGATGTGGGGATTGAACTCGGGTCGGCAGCGTGCAAGGCAAATGCCTACTCAACTGTACTATCACTCCGGACCCCTCTGTTTGGTTTTAAAAGTTAATTACACCTAAAATTTTTCTTTTTTCTTAAAAAAAAAAACTCTATCTCTTTCCCATTTTCCAACTACCCTTCCTTTTTGCCCACAAAATTGTGTCGGTATCTGTCAGCTCCCATGGGTACTGATGGTAATTCCTCCTCCTTCTTAGGTCCTCAAGTAAACTAAGATAGAGCTGTGCTATTTCAGTTATTTTCATGTTGACTCTTAAATAAGCAAAAAAATAAATAAATAAAAATAGAATGAGGGCCTAGATGAGTAAATACTAGGTACTTGAATTTTTATATTATTTTACTTGACTCATTTATTGTTTCCAACTTTACCTTGCTTGTGGATACTTTCTCAGAATGCAGTCAGGAGTAAATATTTTAAATGTGATAAGCATTAGCTTGTAAAAATAACAGGTATCTTACTGAACAAGAAGTTCAGAGGCAGCTGCTAAATAGTCCACAATCTTGTCAGGGACCTGAATTTTCTCTCTCTCTTCTCTGACATCCTCAGTGTGTGGGTGATATATATTCTCATGCTTATAGAATGGCTATGGCAGCTCCAAACATCATCCATAAAAGAAGACTATTCCATATTGGAAGAAACAAGGCAGAAGCAACACAGATTTTTATTTTTTTCTTCAGTATTTTCTTCCATGTTATCAGAAAGGAAATATTTCCCAAGAAACTTTTGAGGCAGGTTGCTATTCAGTTTTTCCCATTGCCAATATTGATTATGGTTTGGGATCCATTATGCTTGGTTAACTCCCATGTATATTAATCATTAAGTGCCTTGAACATCAGCCTTGTCCCTGCAAGGTTTCTTTTTACATTTTAATGCTGGAACGCGTTTGGAAAACAAGTGGACTTTTGCAGATTTTTCAATGACAAGTCAACCAGAAAAGAAATACTAGGAGTAAGACTTTTCTAAAGTCTTAATCAATTCACCAATAGTTTCCAAAATAAATACCCTAAATTTATTTGACACAACTAATCCATACATTGTTATTAAACTTTCTTTAGTATCACTTGTGGCATGGAATATTGGACTGGATGATCCGTGGAGCTGACTAGTAGCAACATTGTTCTGCCTTTCAAAGAGCCTTTAAAAAAAAGGCCACTAGACATGAATGTTAGAAGAGAAAGAGTGGGAGGTCAGTATATTGTGAGACCCAAAATGCACAAGGGTAGAGCTTAAAGCTGAATGAAGATGCCCTGAAATAGCCTCCAGGAGGAAGATAGATAAAAAAAAAACAACCTGGCATGGTAAATGCCTTAGAGGATTTCTTCCATTGTGACTGAAACCTAGAGGTAAGATTGGACATGGCAGCCACTAATATCATGGCTGTACCTCTTTACATGTCTGTTATGGGCATAGTTCTAATCCAAATTATTTCTTTTTTTGCTAAAGGTAATTTATACCATACCTTCAGTGCTGGCCCTGCTTGTTGGACTGAACCCTCTTGTCACAGGTATAAATCTTGAATTCTGAATAGATATATGATGTTATTACAGTCTATCTGTACAACTTCCAGGGAAAATGGAACTCTACAGGGTCACTAATTATAATTTAGGTAATCTTCACCCATCTTTAGTTTGAAAACCTTACAAGGATTTGCCATACTAAGGCATGGAGATAGGATGCTAATTAATGAATAGATGTTATATCTTTCTTTCTTTCTCCCTTTTGTTTTGTTTGTAGGCCATAGCTATGCTCAAGGTTTACTACTGGCTCTGGCTTTATGCTCAGGGATCACTTGTGACAAAATTCAGGGTACCAACTCCGGGTCAGCTGCATACAAGGCAAACATTTAACCAACTGTACACTCTGCATCGATTTCTTAAGTCATCAGGCTATAATCAGAACTAGCAAAGTGATGACCTATGTCCCAGTACTCAGTGACAAGCAAATCAGTGTCTATTACGTAGAGGTAACGCCCTTACAAATTCTTCTTAGACTTGTACAACTCCTATTAATAATTTTCTTAACTTTTTCTTTTTGGTGACAGGGACAGAAGCTAGGTCCTCATATAGTTAAAGCTGTCTCTACTACTTAAATGCACTACTAAAATACATCCATTTTTTAAATTTTTAATTCATTCAACATTTTTATGAATTGCTACTTGTATATAGAATTTCTTATGATGTCCATAATAAATATCTAGATTTTTCAGTAATATGTTTATTCCTAATCTATGTATTATTATAGTAACTATAGCAATTTATTGCATACTTTAATATATGTATTCCCCTTTTAAAAAGGGTAATGTTGGGGTGACAGTACAGTGGGTAAGGCATTTGCCTTGCACGTGGCCAACCCGGGTTCTATTCCCAGCATCTCATATTGTCCCCTGAGCACCGCTAGAAGTAATTCCTGAGTGCAAAGCTAAGAGTAACTCCTGTGCATCGCCGGGTGTGACCCCCTCCCCACCAAAAAAATGAAGGGTAATGTTTAAGCTTTAGCTTAAATAAGGCTAGACATATGGTATGCAACTAATACTTGTTGAATGAATAAATGACTGTAAAGCAGAGGAATTATATATTTACTTTATGGACCATTGCTTGAACTCCTTACATCTATATCCCAGGTAGCTATACCTGTATAAAACCAAATCACTTACAAACTATAACTCAAATTTTTGCATTACCCACTGGCTGCTAACTTCAATGCTATGTTTAAAAAGCAAATGCTTTGACATCTGTGACATCTAAAACCTCTCAATACACCTCTAGTGAACAGTTCTATATACAAAACTGTCCTTGAACAGAAAATGTAGATTTACATTATTTACTTACATTTTCTTATTTGCTCGAGCGGGCCCAGTAACGTCTCCATTGGAGACTTTGTTGTTACTGTGTCTGGCATATCGAATACTCTCAGTAGCTTGCCAGGCTCTCCAAGAGGGGCGGAGGAATCGAACTCGGGTCGACCATGTTGGCCGCTTGTAAGGCGAACGCCCTGCCTGCTGTGCTATCGCTCCAGCCCTAAAGTAAAGGCCCTCCCGTTGATCGTCGATTTGCTCGAGCGGGCCCAGTAACGTCTCCATTGGAGACTTTGTTGTTACTGTGTCTGGCATATCGAATACTCTCGGTAGCTTGCCGGGCTCTCCGAGAGGGGCGGAGGAATCGAACTCGGGTCGGCCATGTTGGCCGCTTGTAAGGCGAACGCCCTACCCGCTGTGCTATCCCTCTCGGAGAGCCCGGCAAGCTACCGAGAGTATTCGATATGCCAGACACAGTAACAACATTTTCTTATTAATGGAAATAATTCTGACATACTGTTCTTCACTTTATATAAAATAGCTTCCATCAGTGGAAAATGATATTAAAGAATTTGCAGAACTAATCTTCTGACCAGGACAGGGGAATCTTTAAGGTGTATCAGTTAGGGTTTCATTTATTACAGCAAGGAAGAGATCAAACCAAATGGACTATAAACAGATGGCTAATATGTAAACTTCTCTGATTCATTTACCATCTACTGCAGTGACTTTGTCCTGGGTTCTACATGCTTGCTTCATAGTTTAAAGTTCACATTTTCAAGATGCTAAGTCTAATAAAGACTATAAAATCTGGGGCTGAATGATAGTACAGTGGATAAGGCAAGTGGCTAATCAAAGTTTGATCTGAGTACCACATATATTGACCCCCAAGTACTGCCAAGATTGATTCCTGAGCACTTTGGTATGGCCCCCAAACCAATTAATTTAAAAAAAAAAGAAAGAAAAAGAAAAACATCCTTGGTTACTTTTCAAAAGTGTCAGACTTGATTTGTTGGTTCAGATTTGTCACTGGTCCATTCTAAGCCCTATCGCTGTAGCTAAGTGAATGTGATGTATTGCTTGACCTTATTAAGGTTCAATTGTCTCAGATCATGGATGGGGATGTACAAAAGTCAGTTCTCTAAGAAATAATGATAGCATAGCAAGGGATGATACTGGAAAACAAGAAACAAAAAATGTCTACGTACGTATATAATGAATATTATTTCTCTGAATGATGCTCCACAAAGCAGCTACCTCCAAACCCAAACCAAACAAACTATTTATTATTGCTTTACTTGACAGTACAATTAGAGATATTGGAGGTAGAGGAGGGTAGGAAATACCCAGGTTTTCTTGGGGTTTACTTTCAGGAATGCTCAGGGTACTGCCTAGATCTTAACATCATGCAACAATTATTTTCATCAGGAAATTTATTTTCAGGTCATTTTGTTTGGAAGACTGTGTCTGCAGTACACATACTCTTTTGTATCACATGGTCTGTTGGCTTGCTATACTACCTCTTGCTTCACAAGCCAAAGAACATCTTACATGAGGAAGAAGTCAGGTGAGCAGTGAATAACTTTTGTTCCTGGAAGGGGTGGATAAGAATTGAGAGATCTATTACTTTATAACATAATTGTATCAGTGTACAGTCATAATTTAACCCCTCTGATTATACCATGAGGAGCAATGAAGGTTTTATCTTCTTTATAAAATGAAGAAACTAAAGATGTTATGGTATTAGGATTTAAATATAGTAGCATCTACTATAATCCATAATTACAGACAGTAGTTACATATACAGTATGTTACCCCCTTTCATGATATATGTAAAATCCACAGTCTACAAGTTGGCAGCATTCTGTTAGCATTCTGATTTAGTTCTGGATCAAGACAAAATATTGTCTCCAAGGTCTGTAAGCATACTAGCTACCTTCCAGGGCATTATTTTAACTCAATCGTAGTCATTCTTGCTCTTGTATATTTTGCCATTTCCTCCCTCTTGTAAGTTGAGGAAATAGTCATAGAGTCTAACCTTTATCACAAGATGAAATTTGTTTTCATCTGATGTTTTAAACTGTCTGAAAAAGTAGGTGAAATTCAGCCAAACTTGGAAATATTTTGTAGATGCTATATGTGTATCTTGGAGGGGAAATCATCTAAGTCAGTCAGAAAATAAGTGTCATAGCCAAAATAAGATGTATCTTGTAGTCACTTCAAAATATGAAATTCATGATATTCTAGGGAGCTGTTTGGCCTGCTGATTATCATATCCTGGATGAGCCTATGTCACAGTTTCCCAAAGTAAGTTTTTAAACTTATTAAAGTTAGAGGTTTTCAAGGTGGTCAGATTATGTCGGTAAGAAAATACTGACACACACAGATGAAAAGAGGAATCTTTTAAAGAGCGTTTTTTCTTTTCCCAAGGAAAACTAATTTATACTTACTCAGAGTTTCCTGATCAGTCCTGTAGACTCATAGGGGTCATTCTTTAGGAGAACACAAATGATCTCAGAAGGAAACTTGGCAGTTTTTATTTATTTGTATTTAGTTGGTGTGAGAGCCACACTCGGCAGTGCTCAAGGGGCTACTCCTGACTCTATGCTTGAAGGGCACTTCTGGTGGTCCTTGGGGCACCGAGCAATGCCAAGAATGCGTGTGGACCCTTGAGCTCTCTTCTCTGCCCCAGAGTGGCTATTTTTAAATAATATCAACTAAAATCTTTACAGAGAAGAGAATATGACACCTGGGATTTATTTAAAAATGAGAAGAAAGGACAGAGATACAGAGGAAACAATATTGGACGTATTTACGCTGGGTCAGGGGTACATATGATTCAGTACGGTAGTATTTGTTTTAGTGTATATATGAATGCAGAATCTCTGTCCCTCTTGGAGAGCCCCGCAAGCTACCAGGAGTGTCCTGCCCGTATGGCAGAGCCTGGCAAGCTACCCGTGACGTACTTGATATGTCAAAAACAGTAACATTAATGAGCCTCATTCCCCTGACCCTGAAAGAACCCCCAATACGCCACTGGGCTACTGACAGGGATGAATGGAGACGTTACTGGAACCCGCTCTAGCAAATCGATGAACAACGGGATGACAGTGATACAGTGAGAAGTAATCACCGAAGGGGTCCTATTTTACTCTAATCTGGCCTTAAGGCCTGTAATTAAAATTGCTATGGGTCAGGAGAGCTAACAGAGAGGTTAAGGTGCATAGCTTGCATGCTCCCAACTCCAGTTTGAGACCCCCAAATGATAGTCTTCCAAGCCAAGTACAACTCTGGAGGCCCCAAAGCACTAGGGGGCCCAGGTAATCCTTGCAGCACTGACACCTTCAGGTCCTTCTAGGAAATGCCAACCTGGTTGTCAGGAAGTTGCAGAAGGGACACCCCTGAGCACTGCTTGAGAAACAAACAAACAAAAAATACCAATTTAAAATGCAAAAATAGAACAAAATTGCTATATTTACTTTTGTTTCCATCTTTTGGCTCTCAAACTTTCTGGACTTATAAATTGAGGGGTTGTCTTTTGCAAGCAGTGTTTAGTTGAGTTTTTTAACTTTTTTCCATTGAAAACCTTTGATGTATGGAATAGTTGATACATTCATATTTAATGCAATTTCACATATATTTTGGAGTTTAAGTTTTAATATCTGCCTCCTATTTTCCCATGTCTTTAGTTCTTTTTTCCTTCTCTCTTTCTGTTTCTATACTCATTTTCCAGCCTTTTAGCATATCACCCTGTCTTAAAGATTCAGATCTTAACATCTGGTAGCTTCTGAGCAGCACCACATATGTCCCCCAAACAAAATAAAAATAAACACTCTACCATCATCTGTAGCACTGTAGCACTGTCCTCCCATTGTTCATCGATGTGTTCAAGCAGGCATCTCCATTGTGAGACTTGTTACTGTTTTTGGCATATCGAATACTCCACAGGGAGCTTCCCAGGCTCTGCCGGGTGGGCGGGATACTCTCAGTAGCTTCCTGGGCTCTCCAAGAGGAACGGAGGAATCAAACTGGATCGGCTGCGTGCAAGGCAAATGCCCTACCTTGAGCCCCTACCATCATCATACACACAAAATAAATAGAAAACAATTCTAACTTATTGTGAATTTTCCAGTTAGAGTTTGTATGGTTGGTGATAGATTTGGGTACCCTGACTGGCAGAGAGGAGATGAATAAAGTGAAGGAAATGGGAGAAGTTTATTGGGGTCACTCCTGAATGGAACTCTACGAACCTCTCATGGACTTAGAGCTGTCTCTTGGAGACGGCTAAGGGGGCTTTTAAGTTGTCTTGGGTGGGAAAAGGAGAGAAGGGAACAAAGACCAATGGAGTCGGTGAGCTTGGTCTGACTCCCATTTTCTGTTAGGGGATGGATGTGAGGAAGCATCCAGGTGGGCCATGAAGCCTGTCTTCCGCTTGGGTGATCTCTAATTCTGGGAATCGCTGTTTCATCCGCTGGCTGCCATTCGGTCCCAAGCAAACCTTACAGTGGGGGGACCATACAGGGTGCCAAAAATCAAGCCTGGGTTGTCTGTGTGAGGCAAGCAAACACCTTACCTACTGAACTATTTGTCTGAACCGTTTTTTTCTAGTTTTAATTTTCTTAAGAAATTTTTCCTCATTATATTTTAAGTATAGTTAAAATATACTTAGTATAATTTAATTTTAGTTAAAATATACTAAGTATATTTTTATATAGTTTTTAATCCTTCACAAATATATTTTAACCAAATTTAACATGTTGTTTCCAAAGCAATTTAAAAATTTTTTTGTGTCTTTATAGGAATTCAGTTGGTGGAAGATTTCATTTGGTTATTGCTGTTGTAATAACTCTTTTCCCATTTTTCTCATGGGCCTACATATATATAAATAAGGAGATGCAGTCCTCGTGGCCAACTCACTGCAAAACGGCAATTTAAATGAAACCAAGAAGCCTGCTTATAAGATATTTTAAATTTTTATAATCATTATTTTTAAATAAATATGATTGGACCAAGCCAGTTTTCTAGGTTATTTCAGGTAATCTGAGTTGATAATTAAGATTATATTTTTAGGGGCTGGAGAGACAGATAGCGCAGTGGGTAGGGTGCTTGCCTTGCATGCAGCCGACCCGGGTTTGATTCCCAGCATCCCATATGGTCCCCTGAGCACCGCCAGGAGTGATTCCTGAGTGCAAAGCCAGGAGCAGTAACTCCTGAGCATCACCAAGTGTGACCCAAAAAGAAAAAAAAGATTATATTTTTAAAACAAACAATTTTAAGGCTCTTTATAAACAATTTAATATTGGTTGGATTAGTAATATATACTGTTTAGTCATGGAACAGTTGAAAGATGGCAGATCAAAAATTAAGAGATATAGTTCTGACTCAATTTCATTTGAGACTTGACAAATACATAAATCTCCTGATTTATATTTAATCTATAAAAAAGTATCCTTTACTTAAACAGCTAGAATAATTAAATTAGATATTATGAGAAAATTCTAAGAATAAAATTCTTGCAAAGAGCTTCACATTCTAAAAAGAAGTCAAATATAGTAGAAAAACTACAATAGCTAAACTTAAAAGTGTGCCTGGGAAGGTAACTATGGTTGGTGAGATTTGTTAGAACACTGTACATCTTAAACTCTAACGTAGTTACTTTATGGTGCTTAAATTTAAAAAAAAAACATTAATTTTTAAAAATGTTATTCCATTTGAACTCAGTGGCTTTTGGCAGAAATGTGACTGGACTATGCATTAAGCTACAGCGCTGTGCCTCACTAGGTGGCAGAGGCTATTTGTCCCTTTGGCTTTCCCCCCCTGCCCCCCCCAAACACACGGTGGCCGCCGCCTTAGAGCCTATTGGACAGTCAGGTATGAGCCAGTAGTGATGGGGCAACTGAGGCCTCATGGGATGGGGGTTGGAACCTGCCGTTTTTCAAGCCCCACCGAGACCATGAATTTCCCCCCACGAGCGGCTCTCCAGCACGGTCATGGCCCCAGAGCACACGGACCAAATTCAGAATCCACCAGCTTTTGGCAGAAATCCCACAAGATTTAATTAGTAAAATATCAGAAATGCAAAATTGTGTGGCTGCTATCACGGCTGTGCAACATCATATGCTCTTCATAAACCAGCAATAGAAAACAAATTATTTAATGATGCCTTTTCAGCAGGTCTGATTGTTGGGGAAAATTCCAAATAATAATGGTGCATCTTTGTCAAAATAATGAATGTAATCAAAGTAGAGAGAGTTAAGTGGAAATCATCTGCCTTACAGGCAGGGGGAGGGGTGGGATGGGGGGTATATTGGGGTTCTTGGTGGTGGAAAATGTGCACTGGTGGAGGGATGGGTATTTGATCAATGAAACTTAAACCTGAAAGCTTTGTAACTGCTCTCACGATGATTCAATAAATAAATAATAATTTAAAAAATAACTGAAAAAATGTTATCCCAAGTACTCTTATTTTTGTTTTCCTTGCCAATGGAGTGGAATTATTAAAGATACCTCTCGGGGTCATATCCTGGAGTGTTATGACTATGTTTTCCTCAATGTATTTTATAAATTCTGGTCTAATTGTGGGATTTTTAATCCATTTTGACTTAGCTTTTGTAAATGATTGGAGTTACAAATTCAGCTTTATTTTTTTTGCATGTAGTCATCTCATTTTCTCAGTCCCATTGATTTTTTTGTTTGTTTGTTTGTTTTATGGGTTTTCTTTGGTGGATGTGGCGGTATTGGGGCTATATGTGGTGATACTCAGGAATATCCCCTGGGATTGCTCATGGTGCCAAGTTCAAGCTAGAATTGGCCAGAAGTGGCTGCTTGCAAGGCAGATGCCTTACATCCTGTACTGTTTCCCTAGCCCCCAATATTCTTTAATGAAGAGGCTTTTCTCGCTCTTTTGTGGTAGATAGACATCCATAAACCTTAGTGTTATCTCTGGGTTCAAATACAGTATCTCAAAACAACTGGAAATGTTGTTATGATTGTTGTCCCAAAGGCTATGTTCATCACCTAACATAATCTGCCTCACAGGCAGATAGCACAAGCTTAGTACCTAATAGCCGAGATGTGGAAACAACCCAAATGCCCAAGTACAGACAAATGGATCAAGAAGTTGTGGTCTACATAGACAAAGGAAGACACACATAGATACAGAATGATGTCTCATATGTGGGTCTTAATGATACATAGCAAGGTAGCAAGAATCCAAAGGCAACGTGATGGGAGCTGATCCACACAAGAGAGTTGGGGAAATGGTTGGAAGGACAGGGTGTCTGGATCCTTGATTGAGAGAGGGAAAGGGTAGTGTTGATGGGCGTGGTGTTAGCATTACGTGCATGAGAAACCATTACTGATAGAATCATAGACTAGTCTCAATTGAAAAAAAATTAAAAACCACCAGTGTTGTCATGGATGAAAGAGGAACTCTTACTCACTCTTGGTGGGAATGTCCTATGATTTAGCATCTACGCAAAACAGTGCGGAGATTCTTCAAAAAAGTATGATTAAAGGTCCCATAGGACCCAGAAATTCCATTCTTGATATCTTCCCCAAAATACAAAAACATTAATTAGAAAGATATATGCACACCTATATTCGTTACAGTGCTTAGTATAGTATCTAGGATCTGGAAACAACCCAGATATCTAACAACATGAATTACTCAAGAAGTTGTGGCATATATACACAAAATGTAAAGCTACACAGCTATTTAAAATATAAAATCTATCCTGGCACAGACTCTCAAACACATGATCCAACCTAGGTTCAATCCTTAACATCTGATATAGTCCCCCAAGTATGCCAAGAGTAATTCCTGAATGCAGGGCCAAGAGTAACCCCTGAGTATCTCAAGAGTGTAATCCAAAAACACCAAAGAGATAAATAAAATTTTAAAAAATCAAGGAATGAATGCAGCTTTAAAACTTGGAAAAGACAAGAGTCACCCTTTTGGTGCTGAGGATTGCCCTGACATCACCCTGACATCAGCCCAGTGGAAATGACTTCAGACATCTCAGATGTCTGAAAGAGGTTGAAGGGATACTACAGCAAGGAGGATGTTTGCCTTGCACATGGCCAACTCGAGTTCGATCCCCAGCATCCCCCTCCCAGATGGTCCCCAGAGCACCACCATGAGTAATCCCTGAGTGCAGAGCCAGAGGAAACCGCTGAGCATCACCACTTGTGGCCTCAAAAGACAGACAGAACTGTAGAAGACCAAATTACATTGTTTTAAGCCAAATTAATTCATTACAAGCTACCACAGTAATCTAATCTACCTCTATACCTCTGTAGTATGTGGGTCTCAGCATACAAATTTTATTGATTGATATCAGCTTCACAGTAACTGATGGGATCTGAATCAAATGGTCTTTATACTTAGTCTGTTTTCATCAGTAAATGTTGCTAGATGACTTACTTTTAGCCTGTATTACAACTGATAATACTTCAGCATGTATTATAGCTAACGACTAACTGGCAATGCTGAGGCATTACTCCCATGACCTGCCAGCCAGTATCTGGGAAATCAAAGCCTTCGGGTTCCAGGTGGAGTATGGTTGGAAAACTGACACTTAAAGGAACTGACAGAAGGGCATTGACTTGGTAGGGAAACCTCACCCAGCCCGGACACAGACAGGATTGACAGATTTATAGCTCTCTCTCGATTCTGTGGGTGGTGGTATGTGGCCGTACTTAGCTGGTGGAGGGAACTACTGTAGCATGTACTCAACAGAATTCAGCAGGTCCTATATAATAATAAAAGGAGTCAAGGGTAGATGCATCAATCTACTAGCTAGCAGCCCACAAAGACCACATGAGCAGAGAGCAGCTGCATTGCACTTGGGCCTGTTTGGTCAGACTCATGATCACACTTTAGCCTGACTCTCCAGTGCCTCTTAGTACCCTGGCACGGGCAGCCACACATTCACCTTGGAGATGCTCTCCCATTGATCTAGGCTGTTACTTTCTGTTTACAAAGTAGGAATACAAGCTAAAAAATATATGGTAGCAATACTCAGCAAAGGGCTGGAGAGATAGCACAGCGGTAGGGCATTGGGCTTAGAAGTGGTCAACATGACCGACCCGAGTTTGATTCTTCTGCCCCTCTCGGAGAGCCTGGCAAGTTACCGAAAGGATCTCGCCCGCACAACAGAGCCTGGCAAGCTACCCGTGACGTATTCGATATGCCAAACAGTGACAACAAATCTCAGGATGGAGACGTTACTGGGCCCACTCGAGCAAATCGAACAACAGGAGACCCGTGACCGTGGACCGTGACTCAGCAAAAAAAATGCCCACAAAACTCATTTACACAGTTTTCTAATTTTATTTCATTTTATTAAGAATATTAAATTACATAGTTAATACATAAATACATTCTCCTTGTAAAAAGTTAAAATCTTTCAAGTAAGGAAAATTTTTAATTTTGAAGACTCTGGTCTCTGTCCCATCTCACAGTCCCCTTTCCTTGCTGATTTATTCATGCCACTTTCAGTCATTTTGCTTCTAATATTCTGCACTGGATATGTTATCAAAAATGTCATTTCAGATTATTTTACGAGCTAATTCACAGTGACCAAAAATACATTTTGCTATACAAAAAAGATTAGTTAACAATGAAATTGGAACCATTTTCCGTCTTATAATTCATAATTCTGTCCGGAACCCTGCCTTTCCCTTTTAATATCATTTTGTCAGGATAAACATAAACTGTACCAAAAGCCTGGCTGTCTGGAGCTGTTTCAATAACCCCTTCTAGGTCGACATGGTGCACACCAAAACGATCCACAGAGTAGCCACCATCATGAGTATGGCCCGCAAAAACACACACCACAGATGTGTGAGACCAGATCACTGCTAGGGCGTCTCTGTAATTCCAGGCCAGGCACACAGTATCAGAGGCCTCTGGGTAAATGGGAATGTGGCCTAGTAAAGAAAAAAATAAGTGTTAGAAGCCAAGTAAGAAAATGATCTCTCACCAAAATAAATGGCTATAAACTAGTATTT